ATGAAAGGGGGCCGGGGCGGGAAGGTTTTTCCCCCGGTGGGCCAAAGTTTTTATTTTTGGAAGGGGGGTAACCCCCGGGATGGGGACGGGGGGGGGCCCCCCGGGGGAGCTTTCCCGGATGTTCCCGGGGTTTTTGTGGGGCCCCAGTTTTCCCGGGGTTTTTAAAAAAAAAAATTTGCCCGGGGTTTTTTGGTAAAGGGGGCAAGGGGGGATGTTTCCCTTTTTGAAGGGGGGGGTTTTGAGTTGGCCCAACCCCCTTTTTTGATGTGTTTTTTTGGGACCCCCCCCCCCGGGGTTTTTTCTTTTTCCCCCTAAATTTGATAAAATTTTTCCAAATTTTTTTTTTCTTTCCTTCCCCCGGTGGGGGTTTGGGTTCCCAAAATTCCCCCTTCGGGGGGGGTTTTTTGGGGGGTTTTGGGAAAAAAATTGCCCCTTTTTTTTTTTTTTTTAACCCCCCCGGCCCAGTTTTCCCCCCCCCCCCCCCCCCCCCCGCGCGCGCTGGTCATCCTAGTGAAACGGAGCCCGGGCCGGCGAAAACCCGGCATGTATATCGCTCCGTCCCGGCATTGTAGAGATGCGAAGTCGATGGTCTGACGACTACGGCATGCGTCTCCCCTCTCTCGTGGGTACATGGTCTAAGGCATGCGAAACATGAGTGCACCCCCCCCGCCGCGTTTGTGTGTTGGCGTGCGTGTTGTTGTTGTTGTTGTCGTTGTCGGGTCAGCAGCCGACGACGCCACGACGACGAGCGGAGAGGGTCGCGAAGAAGGATCCCTTGAAGGAGAAGCGGGTGCAGCTCCAGCCCGCCGTGGCTAAGGAGGTGCAGAGCTTCATCACCGCCAAGCGAAAAGAGGCGCGCGGGATGGTACTCGGAAGGTACGGGGGGTGGGGGGGGTCAGGCGGGCGGGAGAGGTTGGTTTGTGCTGCGGTTAGCTCGTACGACTTGGCCGACGAACTCGTTGACATACATGCAGACTTCTGGTGTCCTGGTTAAGTGTCTTGGTGCATGTACAGTATTGTCTACATGTTGGGCTTGGTTATTGGGGGATTTGTCTTTTGTTTTACGGCACAACGAACCCATCTCTATTCTCAGATGAGAGTCCAGGATAACACTAACAAGCAATGATTCCATAGCGTTAGCGGAAGTTTTGTGTTTGTTGCTCTAATGTGCTCATGTTACCTTTTTTTTTTTTTTTGGTGGGGTCGCGTTCACGACGACAGGTTTGACGCCGAGCAGAGAGGCCTCATGACAGACTCCGGGGCGGTAGAAGACTCCCTCCTCGAAGGCTTCGACAAACCGTGGCCACGCCCACGGTACGCCGGCGCGGCCGCCGCTGGGCCGGTCGAGAAGGACGGTGGCGCCCCAGGCGTCGTCGGGGAAGAACGGCGGTCCCCCTCTGAGGGTTCGTCGTCGCCGGCAGCGGCAGCGTCAGCGGAGGCCGCGGCTAAGCAGCGGTTTGTGCTTCCGGAGGGCGTCCTCCTTAAGCACGCCGTGCAGGTGTGGAACGCCCTCTGCGTGTTCCCGAGGCCCATGGGGCTAAGGCCGCCGCCGACGCTGGACCAGCTGATGCGGGCTATCGTCATGGTGTCGCCGAGGTGGCAGCAGTCGCGTGGAGCAGAGGGCAGCGGTGGTGAGGGGTCGAAGACGGTGGAGGGGGGGGAGGAGGACGGCGAGGCGGAGTTCGACGAGAAGAAGGCGTCTATCCGAGCTGCTGCTGCGAGGGGAAAGCAGGGGAGAAAAGGGGGGGATGGGGAGGAGGAGGGTGGGGAGGAGGCGAAGAAAGAAGCCCAGGCCCTGCTTGATGGCGTGTGCATGTCCATCGTGCGTGTACTGTCGATCGATCTCCACACTGTCCTGGGAAGGTGAGAGCCCGGCCGGCGCGTTCCCGCAACGCGGGCAAGGGGTAGAGAGTCGCTTAATATTAGTGTCCCAGCTTACTGGCTCTGTTGACAGCAGTTGGAACCGAGAATGGCTTGCAGAATGAGCTCAAGTCGCGGCCGGCTAACCGCCGGCGTTTTCCCCCGGTCTCACTGCTCCCCCCCCCCCCCCCCCCCC